ACGTATATAATTATTAAATCGATTCAGAATTAGCAAAGATATTACGTGAAAGTACACACGCAAGTTGATTTTGTTCCACGAAGAAAAAAACACCGGCTTCAAATGTGGCAGTTATTTTTACTTAAAAACCAAACTATTGAACTTAAAAATACCAATGAAACGACCTGAAAAGTATATCCTTTCAGATAAGAGGAAGTATTTTCTAAATCCTTTAATAAATGACGAAATTCTAAGGTAACAAACATAAAAAATACAATTGAATTTAGAATCTTTCTAAATTTTTTTAAGTCGGTTGATGAAAACAAGCAAATAGATCTACGTACTTTTTCAATTCGTTTAAAAATAAAAGACATTGTGGCGTTTGTCTTATTTTTTAATGTTTTATGTTTTTATGTTAATTTTTTTTTATAATTTACGCTTTGTATTAATGAGTTTATTTGCATAATAAAATACAGAGAATCAAAAAACACAGAACAATAAATTACAATTGTTAAAATTGTACCATAAAGGTAATAAAAGTGGCTTGTATAAATACAATAAAGCGATAATTTATTGATGAAAGCAAACACTTTATAGTTTTCTATTTTTTAATGGCTGCATTAAAAAAAATCACAATCCACAATCTTGAGGTCTTATCGGATATGAAAAGACGTTTGCTAATTTTTTTATTTTATTTCCATGTTAAAAAGTTGCGGAGAAAGAAGTCAAAAGAAAGTCATGCCACGTTTAAAGATACCGAATTTATTCATATTATGTAATATTAGATGCTGGTTTCTGCCGTGAAGTAAGGAACTAAGAGCGACGAAATTAGAATGACGAAGAAGAACTTGTTCGTCATTCTAAGTTGGATGAAGAAAGATTTCTAAATGTTTTCAGCCGACTTCAAAAAAAGGAGGTTTTCAATTCGGTGGTTTTTTTTTGTTTTTTTTTCCTCATAACTCCGTCAGTTACAAACTGATTTAGAAAATTATTTTTCGAACTGAAACGAAAATATACTTACATGTTAATTTCATAGACATTTTATCAAAATCGGTATTTTATAAAAAAAATAGTAGTTTAGTTTTTAAGTCGAAATAACTGATTTTGTCATAATCAAAGCCAGTTTTTTGTGGGACCCCATCTTTATTTAAACAGTCATTCTAAGTTAAATGTAAGTAGAATGACTCTTAAGCTAAGTTACAATTGTGTAAATTTTGAAAGCTTGTTATTATTAGAATTACGCAGTGTAAATTTTAATTAAAAGATTTGTCTTCATGATTAGCAAGTCAAAATGAAATCAAACAAGTCAAGTAACAAGGGAAATTCAAATAAAATCTTCTATTACAAAATTGGTAGACGTCTTATTAAAATATGTCCAATATGTTAAGAAACATGGGATACTTGTAAGAAATAATTATAAAATATAAAATTATGCCTGCGCCGAACGTGATTGTAATGAGAGTATTGCCCCTATAATGTTCGAGATCGGATTTGTAAATCTATAAATAAATTTTCTGAAACCTCTATGTATATTCTTGGTTTATAGGTGTGTACGTAAGGATAATAGTTATGTAGGTAAGTACACTATTTGCCAAACCGTAACATTCGGCCGGTGGCGATTTTCCAATGATATTCTGTGTCGGAAGTTTTAATAAACGTAATAATATAGATTATAATTTGCATATTAACCCACTTTGTCCCACTAGTGGGCAACAGTTCAAAACCTCATTACTTTTCAATTTTATTTTATAAATACTTAAATTTTTCAAATATATTCATATACCAATTGTTCCTTAATTACGCCATCTGTTGGTGAGTAGCTTAATAAAATAGTAGAATGAATGTTCTAGAATAAATATTTAGCTTTTACCTTTAATTATTATATTTCGGACTATAACATGTAGATTTTTTATTTGGTTTTAGATGAAAGTTCAATATGTTTGGAATCTTACGAATAGTCCCACGTTGGGCGCCAATAAAATATTATGGTAGTAATTTTTTTTTTTAATAAGAAGAACTCATATTCTATAAACTATTTATTCAGGAAAAATATTAGTATTAAATCAATTTGTGAAAAATATCGACAAAAATTTATAGATTTAAATGTGGTCCAGCATTCACGAAGGTGTCGAGTAATATACATAATAGTGGATTGAGAACTTCTTCCTTTTTGAAAGGTATTGGATTGTACGCTTGTCACAAGTTAAACTGAATATCGTTTTGCTGAAATGCCTCTTTTTTGAACTAATGGAGAAACACATTTATTTCTTAAATTACAATGTTCGAGAATCTTAAATTAAAGAAAAAACATATAAAACATTTTCTGAGCAGCGAAGTAGTAGTAGGCGAATCTTTTCCGTTTTGGAGATTGGAGATGAGATATTACGTTTGTTAATGTAAGCAATAACAATTTGGGACGTATATTATTACTGCTATAATAAAATTGTAACTACACAGTTTCTGTAGATGAGAGATATTTAAGAAAAATGTATGTCATTGATAAGAGACAATACAATAATTTTTAGAATGTTTTCTATTTGTTTTGGCATCACGTAAAAATCATTGCACAATGTTGAATGCGGTTTTCATAATTATAGCCCATTTATCTATCCTATTTAAGAGCTGCGCTCTTGTCGATGGAGCTCTTGCCACTTACTACGATTCATTCAGCGAGTCTCTTCACCTCTTGAACGACACGACACCAACTCCTTCCTTGATGTGCCTGATGTAACTATGGTGTATATTTTGTGATGCGCTGTTTAGAAGTAGTCTATTTTATTAATTTTCCTATTTCCGAAACCCACATGTATGAAGTAGCGGAGAAAAAACTTATTATTATAAAAAATTGTATTATTATAAACATGTAACTAGTTGATGCATTATGCATTTGAAAAAAAAAGTTAAGCGTTCTAAAATTGAAAATGTTGTGTCGACACCGACAAACGATTTGGTCAAATGGCACTCCACCACTGCCACCCACCACCTCTCCTCACTCCATGTTGGCGGATCGATGGCGCGCATGCGCACCGCGCCCCGCAGTATTGAATGAGCCCATTCATGGAGCAACTGGTGACTTGAGAATGAAGTGTAATGCTGTACTCTACACATACATAGGTATGCTACTCCCCGCCGTAGGCGTGGGGCCTGACGTTCCAAATTTGAAATTGGTTTTTCGATTGGCTGAGCGATTGATGTCCCAATTTTTTTTTAACATGATTGATAGGTTTCGATTACTTACTTGCTTTTATGTCGATCAGTTTATAAATATCCAGTTTTTAATCCATTCGAATTAGATTTGGGATGCGGTTATAGAATTATTTAGATTGACGGAGCAAATAAATAAATCAAAGTGAGTTACCTTAAAGCTTACTTTGATTTATTTTTGCCTTAGTTTGTCAAAAATATTTTATTCATATTTTAAATTCACGATCGGGATTACAGGTAATTAGTATCTACTAAGGTATCGATTTTTATTACCAAAGATTAAAATATAATTTAAAATATTTAAAAGCAACGTCAAAGTTTAATATTAATTAATATTTAAATATTATTAAAACTCCGCCTGATTTGTAATTCTATCAATTATAGAATAGTTTTTATATTTTCGTTCTATTCCAACAAATAAGTAAAAATCAATTGCTGAATTACATTCATTCGTTGTCACATCGTATCACTTTAGAATGGCTGCATGTGTATGGCAATTTTGTTGTTGTATTTTTAATTGTCAGGAAAAGGTGTGCTTGAAATAAAATGTTTAAAAATTCGTACAGAATGCGTTCGATTGAATGCGACAAGTTCATGCGAAGCCGGGGCGGGTAACTAGTATTTAATGATCTCCGTAGAGTCCTTACAGATTATCAACGTTTAATACTAGCGATAAGATAATAAAAAATACTCTATTAATTTTAATATGCTATTTACTTATTATAATTGTTAATAAATCAAATTTTTAAAATAATGATATTTTTTATTCTATTACTAAATTCCTGTAATCCATAATTTTGTTATAAAGAAAAATATTTTAAAATTAATCTATTTTTTTTATATAATAAATACCTAGTGTTTAGGTTACATAACCTAAACACTATTTATTAGGCCAGTCCCACTTGTCTCTACCAACTTTTTCCCCTTGAGAGTAAGAATTATACGATAAGACACTCAGCAATTTATAGTATTTTACAAAATTTCAAATGTTTATAGAAAAATTAAAGAAATATGAAAATCATACTTTATATAATAATACGTATATTTATGATGACCTAGTTCTCTGGGCGTGTTTCTGCACAACAGGACTGACAAATCATGCTTAAGATGCCGTACCGTCGCCACATTTACGTAAGAGAAAATTCTTAAAAAAAAAAGAAGTAAAACCGTTAAAAGTGAAGCGGTCTTTTTACGCCTGATGACATTTTAATTATTTGCGTGGGCAGACGTTGCGAATTTTTTTGCACAACTTTAGAATGATAAACAGGCTGACGGCCCGTCTGGAGGAAAGTGGTAAACGTCGTTTACAGCATCGTGGTCACCACAGAGTACTTTGACGCCTACGAAGATGCACAGATTTTTTTTTTTATACGACTTAGAATGGCAAACAAGCCGACGGCCCACCTGATGGAAAGTGGTAACCGTCACCTATAGACATGAGCAGTACCATGGACATAACAGAGTATACTGATTCGCCCATGATACTCCCCATGCGTTGCCATTCCTGAGGACTCAGGTGTTATTCCTTTGTACCCTGTAAATTCACGCCATATCCCACCCTTCAAACCGAAACACAGCCATGCAAACACAATTGCTTCATGGTTGAAACACGAATGTAAGTTCACAGATTAATGAATCTATGAACTTACATTCCGCATTTCAAATCGATGCTGCCAAAAAAAAACAACAGAACTACGCGAGTAGGACAAGAGGTATCTAGGCAGACTATTTTGATATAGGTACAATATACAAATGTAACTTACAAATACCAAAACTGTAAAAAGAAATAATAAAATTTCTCTATTTTACATGTTTACAAAAATTTTATTTCTCGCATAAAAAAAATCAACAGTGATTTGAAGCACAAACACAAGTGTGGCAGAAGTACCCACATTGATTATTTTTGTATAGGACCAAACCACAAATCTGTCTAGTCTAGATCACAAATACTAAATCTGTAAAAAAAAAAATCCATTTCAGTATTCTCTAAGAATTAATTTTCTTCAAAATTTCCCCGAACACATTTTTATTCAAAATTGTGATAGAAATACATAATCTGGTAACACTAACTCGATCTCTAATGCAGGCCCATATTGAGTGTTTTTTTTTAATAGGTGAAAATGGTATGGTAACCCCGCCCGCGCTAACGGGATATGCTGGCGGAGCACCAGTGAAGGGTGATAGATGAGAATGAAAACAGGCCAGTTAGCCCATCATGATAAATTCTCCAGGAATTAACCATGATAGTTTCCAGGGAGAACCGCAAGGAGGTCGACCTGGTTGGGCACATTGCTAGCAATAGGATTCCCAGTTTCCATTACTAACAATCCCTTTCCCCCCACTATTGAGTGTTAGAAGCAATCATATAAAATTTCTCAATGTAAGAAGTACTGATTTCTTGACTTACGTATACGATATAAAAACAACGTTTTCCCTTTTGTTCACGTGATTATTCCTTGATCTCTTTCTCTCCTTTTATGTCTTGTAATATGTTTTTTATGCTTTTATTCGTTATTACCATGTCGTCAATCTATCCATCACGTCGTGTGGTTCCGACATAGAATGGACTACTCCATTCTATTCCGTGGGTGTCGTTAGAGGCGATTAAAGGTACTTAGGGATAGGCAGCGGCGTCCTTCTTAAAACGACACCAAAGCCTAACTGCGGTTGTCAACTCGCCTGCCAAGCGTAGCAATTACTGGAAAAAAAATTATGCATTTTAAAATGTGAAGATGAAAAATGATATATTGTTTTTTTATTAATCTTAACATAATAATAATCGACAATAATACCTTTTGAATACACGCTTGATAATTAATATTTTAATTAATGATTCGTTTACAGTTATTAAATTATGAATATTTCAATAAAATAATTAAATTTCTCGTAGATTGTGGATTTATACTCCTGTCAGTTTATGTCTTAGATTATAAAGTAGGTATCATGTTATACTACGTCTGTAGTTTAGGTTATAAAATGCATTATTTTTGTAAAAATAGATTTTTGTAAATTTTGACAAAACCTTTAATTATAGGAAGTAATTAAAGATTTTGCTTGGCAGGCGGGTTGGTACCGCAGTTGGGCTTTAGTGATGTTTTAGACGCTGCTGTCTATTCTTCGCCTACTAAGTTTCCTTACTTGCTTCTTACGATACTCACGGGAAAGGAAGGGATGGCCCATTTTATACTGGGATACACATACATACAAGCTATATACTCATAAGATTTATAAATTTCTTTATATTTATAATAGAATAGAAGAAATTTATTGAATCTTACAATATTTTGGAAAACTAATGAAAAGCAAACATGTAGGCAATACTGAGGCAAATGTACTAAATAATATTAATACTTATTTTTTATTGAAATCAATGTTGCTTTATAAAAGAAGAAAAATGTTAAGTATGTACTTGTATTTTGTACTTTGGCCGTGTGGTCCCGGCATAGAATAGTCCAGCTCTTCTTACCCCGTGGATGTCGTCAGAGCCGTACGTACATTGGGATATCAACTCGTATTAAACACTCATATGACCTGTAAATTACCGTGTGGTCCCAGCACAGAATAGGCCACCCCTTCCTTTCCTGTGGGTGTCATAAGACTAAGGAAGGGCGAGGGATGGGCAGCAGCGTCCCTCTTAATACATCTCTAAAGCCTAACTGCGTTAACCAACCCGCCTGCCAAGTGTGACAACTACTGGCAACCCCCCCCAAGGGTGAGGCTTGTGTTCAGCAGTGGACAGTTAAAGGCTGATATATATGTACTTGTATTATGTTATATACATGTAAGTCTAAAATGTCTAACAAAATATATAACAACATAGTATACGATTTGGGTCAGTTTTCTAGTGTCGATCGATCAAATGTGGAGCGCTAGCAGAGATAATATACATAGGTACTTCATGTTAGCATTATACCTAACTCTATGATTACGTTAAGCAGGGTTACCAGATGTCAATAATATTTTCTTTAAAACGATATATTTTTTTTTTCACTTTTACGTAGGCATAAATTTGTGTCGATTTCATTACGTTTTGCCACGTAAACACAAAGTGAATGATAAAAATAGAGATCGCTATTTAGCGATAACACCTCCCATTGTGGCCTCTTCATCTTGCTTTTATGTAATTAAGTTTTTGTAATTAATTTTTTTTTGTGTACATATTGTTAATCTTTATAATTTGTATCATTCTTTGAAAGGAACAATAAGGAGTTATCATTCATTAAAAAAAAAAAAAACATCCTCTCTTACCTTCTTCTTTACTACCTTCATTGGTATAGTTTATTATATTTATACCAGTGCAACGTTGACAAACACCAAAATTTAAAAAAATGAAATTCCCAATTTTCACCAAGTCTATTTCACTTTTTTGCAAACATTTCTCTGAGAATTTAATTTTGTAAAATTTTACAATTAGAAATTCTTTTATTAAAACTTACGAAAAAGAACCTAAATTGGCAACGTTGATATTATACTTTTAAAACTTCTGTACACTGTAGTGTACTTAACATTGTAGACAGGGTAAAAAACTAAAAATGTTAAGAATTTTACGCCAATATAATCGAATATTTATTTTATAGATGATAATAGAATGGTAACCCCGCCTGCGCTAACGATATACGCTGGCATACGAGGCACCAGTGAGGGATGATAGATGAGAATGAAAGGGCAGGACAGTCAGACCATCGTGACGAAATCCACAAAAATTAACCAAGATGATTTCCCGAGGGAACCGCATGGAGGTCGCCCTGAAAGGGTATTATAGTGTTAGTAATGGGGCTATTACGTCGCTATACGTTCGATGTCTCACTCCAATTCATGGAGTCGCTTGCTAATAACGATTCTATTGATGGATTCACTCGCCACTTGTCTAGGGGGGCTGAAATGTATTGATGTTTAGTATGGAAGCCTCAGCCCTTATCTAATATTATGAACTAGCCGTATCCCGCGGTACCACTTACGCGAATCAGTATATAAAGTATCCTATATAATAAATTAGGACATAACCTACCCGTGTAATAAATTTCATTCAAATCTGTTTAGTACTTTTTTTCGTGAAATATTCATCCATTCATTCGTCCATCTTTCGTTACAAATTATCAAATTTATAATATTACTAGAATGTGAAATTCTGTGAAAGTGAGTTTGTTTGTTACTTCTTAGCGCCTTAATGACTGTATCAATTATTATGAAATTTGCTATATAGGTACGTACGTATGTACGTAGGTACGTTACATATAAGTTTCGTATATGGCACAGAGAAGGACATAGACTTTATTGAATAAATACCAATCACACGGACGATGTCGCGGGTAGAGGCTAGTAATAGTATAAAGTATAAAGAAATGTGTGTGCCCCGGCATAGAATAGGCCACCCCTTCCTTTACCGTGGATGTTGTAAGAGAAGACTAAGGGAGGGCGAGGAATGGACAGCAGCGTCCCCTTTACATCTCTAAAAGCCTAACTGCGGTTATCGGGGGGAAAGGGTTTAGTAATGCTAGCAGTACACCCTATCAGGTCGACCTCCACGCGGTTCTCCCTGAAAACCATCGTGGTTAATTATAGTGAAATTCGTCATGATAGGCTAAATGACTTGCCTTTTCATTCTCACCTATCATCCCTCACTGGTGTCCCGTCAGCGTATACGGATAGCGCAGGGGGGTTACCATTCCATTATCATTAATTAAAAAGAAACTGGGGTTACTAACTCGCTTGCCTTACGGGGAAGACTTATGTCCAGCAGTGGACAGTCAACGGCTGAAATAATAATAATAAAATAAAGAGAAAATATTTCGACCTGGCTCATGAGGTGACCGAAATGTGGGGGGTGACGTCCACCGAAATCATTCCAATCGTTTTGTCGGTGAACGGTCTTATCCCAATCAGTCTGGAACAACATCTCAGACGGTTGGGATTCCGGGGTGGCTCACTCCCGGGAAAGATGCAGAAAGCGGTGCTCTTAGATTCTGCCCGCATTGTACGCCGGTTTCTCTCCTTGGGGCCCTGAACCCTGGCCGACTGTGCTTTTGCCGGGGGTTAGTTTGCCATCTCCTCTCCTTAAGACGGGAGATGTGAATTTTCTAAAAATAAAGAAATAGCATAATACAATAATGGGATACACCATACTATATATATACTACACCGGAGGAACTGCAAGTTCGTTGCCGGCCTTTTAAAAAGAAATGTGCTCTTTTCTCGAAGGTTACAAAGAAAATATAATTAGCTATAAATTAGTATTTATAAGTGCTATAATTAGCTTATCTAAATAACTGTACAGTTAAATATCTTTGACAATTAGTTTCTAAGTGATATTTAATCAAAGGTATGCCGAATTATTGAGAGTCCTCTAGGCAAGAGCGTGGCGCATAATTTCCCTCATAATATTAATTGACAATTAACCTCCGACGTAGAGCGTCGACTAATGTAATTATGTCTGCATTATAGCCAGAAATATACGCTATTTTTAGATATAACTTTATGAAAGACTAGCGACCCTGGCCGGCTTCGCTCGGGTAGATATTCGTAGCATTTTTTAAAATAATACCACATATAGTCTATGTGTCTTGTTGATAATGTAGTTTTCTATTTTGTTATAGCAGATACCTATCAAGTATTACGACACATCCTCAACGGCGATCGGATCGGACCACCTAGCATGGCGCAAGAAGGTACGCTACCGAGAAAGACACCTGCGTCGAGTCAGCATTTCAATTCCTGCAGTAAAAATACCCATTTCCTTTATGTTTGATTTGATATAACTTCACTTACGGATTCACACATCGATCTGAAGACACATATTATCGTAATAATTAATTTTAAAATTTAATTTAGTTATATTTATAAAATTGGCTTTTTTTTTGGGTCTTCCGCCAGCGACTTCAATAACTATCTTTTATTCGCGACTTCGTCGGCGTAATTGGGATATATTTATTGACTGTCTTGATCTACTCCTTTTTTTATACCACTGAGGTGGCATTCAAGCATACGACCCACATGATCTTATTTTATCTTAGATTCGCTATATGGGGTCAGCTAAGCCGATGCACGTCGACCCATACGAATCTTTTGTGCTTCCCCCTGCCTTATATCATCATTTCATAAATCCTCTGTGTTACCTTGACGATATCCCGCAGTTTAAGATATCTGTAGTCTCCTGGTTCTGGATAAGCCGTTGATGGTAAGTGGTTATCATAGCCTATGAACGCCTGCAATACCAGGGGTGTTACGCGCGCGTTGCCGACCCTGAAGAAACCTCTTTACGCACCTTTTGAAGAACCCCATGCTGTAGTCTCATGGGAAAACTTTTTTTGGAAATCATACTGTCACACGATATTCTTTTCTCACTTTCTCTTTAAACTTATTTCTTGCTGATTACTCTGAGTCAAAGATCTTATCTTATTTTTCGCATACGGGGTCAGCTAAGCCGATGCACGTCGACCCATACGGATCTTTTGTGCTTCCCCCTGCCTTATACTATCATTTCATAGATCCTATGTGTTACCCTAACGATATCCCGCGGTTTAAGATATCTGTAGTCCCTGGTTCTGGATAAGCCGTTCCCAGTAGACTCATACGCATGCTTGCCAATGAATCGCAGTTGCACATCAAGTGTTCCATGGATTCCGATTTCTCCCCGCACAGTCTGCACAGTGTGTCCGAAGATAGACCCATCTTGTGTAGTATATGCCTTATTAGCATATGTCCAGTTAGGGCATCCATAATGAGTCTTGCCTGTTGTCTGCCACCGCTGTAGATGAGTTTATCCCATCCCTCAACATTGTCACTGAGTCAAAGATAGTTATTTACTCTCCTAATACAGTTACGTATTTTGTAAATTATTATGTCAGTCTATTTAAATGTTAAGTAGGTCATCTTAAATATACCTGAACATATTATATGAAGTATGATTTTTATATTTCGATAAATTCCTATAACCATTTAAAATTATATATCATCATTATACGAGCCTTTAACTGTCCACTGTTGAACATAAGCCTGCCCTTTGGGCGTTTTGCCAGTAGTTGCCACGTTTGGTAGGCGAATTAGCAACCAACCAACACAATTAATGTTGTTTTTTATGATAAACAATCTTTATTATATAATACTCGTAGTAAATAGTATAACTTTACTCTTTTTAAGAAAATTATTAATTTATCTTTTAATTATTCTTAAAGTTAGTACTGTTTTCATAAATCCAGCGTGAAACAAGAAGAGTCAAGACGTGATCCAATCGCGCTAGATCGCGGACAGCTCTGATAAATGGTTGCTTTTTTATGTAATAAATTAAGCTTCATAAAAACCGGATAGTTGTAACAGCTGCGTATTAAGTAGCTGGATATTAATTAGTTTAGACAGTGAATTTTCTTTCTCAAACAAAATAACCAAGTTAAACGAAACAGATTAGTATTGACTCATAATTTTACTATTTTTTTGTATTTTAAAATTAACTTGTTGCCAGTACTTCGTACGGGTGAATTTGTTTTTTTTTTATACAACTTAGAATGGCAAACAAGCTGACGGTCCACCTGATGGAAAGTGGTAACCGTCGCCTATAGACATGAGCAGTACAATGGACATAACAGAGTATACTGTTTCGCCCATGATACCCCCCATGCGTTGCCATTCTTGAGGACTCAGGTGTTATTCCTCTGTACCCAGTAAATTCATGCCATATCCCACCCTTCAAACCGAAACACAGCCACGCAAACAACTGCTTCATGGTTGAAACACGAATGGGACAGAGGTACCCAAGCGAACGACTTTTGTACAAAGTTCCCCTCTGGTAGACTTTGCACAAAAGTTCTACATGGCATATCAAGATAAAACCTACACCACATTTTAAGTTAGGTGTAAGGGTGTCGTAAGAGGCGACTAAGGGATGGCGACGGATGAGCGGTGTCATCTCTCTTAAAACATGGCAACAAACAGCTATAGCAACAAAGGCTAATTGCGGTTGCTAATCCGCCTGCCAAGCATGGCAAGTACTAATCAAACCCTCCTAGGGCAGGCTTATATTCTGCAGTAGATAATGAAAGACTTTGTATCTATAAGTCCTTTCAGATAAAAAAAAACAATTCAGTTTATAACTCACAGAGGTATGGGATAATAAATATATAAAAAAGAAATATATATATAAATATAAAAAATCCTTATTCTTTTTAATTGTGAATTTTTTTTACATAATCGCTCTTAATCCTAAAATAAAACCTAAAGTACTTTAGAATCTGGCTAGTTTTTACATATTACTTGGTCCGCATGACTGCCATATATTAATTAACAGGAAAAAATTGTGTATGTTCTTCTTTACCAATATATGTACATACGTCGATAAAAAAAATTATATTCATTTATTACATTAATTTCAATAAGCGATGTAAATCGAGTAACATAGCTACAAAAAATATATTCTAAATATGTCGAGTTGAAGGA